ATAATAATTTGTAAACGTATACTTATGAAGATATACGTGAAAACTTGTTAACTTACACACCAAAATCTTGAATCAAATATACTGTTCTAGGTGAGAGATTAAACTATATATATATATATATATATATATATATATTGTTTAACGTCTACAACTAATTTGATGTAGATTGCCACGTATGCCTCTCTATGTAATGAAAATTTGCTTGCACACGTGCGATTCCCGCTAAATAATTAGCATTCAATCTAATTTGTAGAGATTCTTTATTTCTCATCGAGAACTGATACAGATTATACTCGGTCAAAATCAAAACTGTAACTGTACTATAAACAGCGACACGTACGCGCTTTTCTTACGCTAGCGCCGCTCTCGCCTTATTCTTAAACTTCTAAGTGTTGCGTCAAGCGCGAAATCAAAAAACGTCCAAACATCCTGTCCCCTTTGAACTGACCAGTTCAAATAATCATTACAAATGTTCGTTCATAGGAAGCAGTGCGACATTCTTTACTGCACGTTTATAATTTCCGTTTGCAGTCCTGATTGCTATGACTCTTACAATGCCATCTTGGCCAGGATATAGTTCAGTAACCCGGCCCAAAGGCCAATACAATGAAGGAGTTTTGTCTTCGCGCAATAAAACTAAATCACCTACATTTAAATTGCCTGTTCCTGATTTCCATTTTGTACGTTGTGTCAATTCAGTCAAATACTCCTTGCTCCATCGATTCCAGAAATCACGTTTAAGTTTCTGAATGTGTTGCCACTGGGACAATTTATTAGTTTGAGTATTTGTAAAATCAACTTCTGGGATTGATGAGAGCAAACCTCCAATTAAAAAATGACTTGGAGTCAATGAGGCTAAATCATCTGGACTCGATGACAGTGGCGTTAGCGGTCTAGAATTAAGTATTGCTTCAATCTCGATGATAAGCGTATTAAACTGTTCAAATGTAAATAGAGTATCTTTAGCTACGCGAAATAAGTGATGTTTAAAAGACCGCACGGCTGCTTCCCAAATTCCTCCGAAATGAGGAGACCGGGGTGGGATGAATCTCCAAACAACTTCCTGTTCACTCAGCTAAGCTGTCATCGCATCCTTATGAGTCGCAGTGTTTACAAAATCATACAATTCACGTAGTTTATTCTTTGTACCAACAAAATTGGTCGCATTATCTGACAAAATGAGGTTCGATTTACCTCTTCTACTAAAAAATCGTTTTAATGCAGCTATAAAAGCCTCAGTGGATAAATCGCTCACTAATTCTAGGTGAACAGCTTTTGAAGCTAGGCATATGAAAATTGCGACGTAAACCTTAATTTTATTACGATTGCGATGCTTCTTTTCCTTTATCTGAAAGGGGCCGCAATAATCAACGCCGGAATTTGTGAAAGGTCGTGAACATTCGAATCTATCTTTAGGAAGATTACTCATTGTATATTCTGACATTCGCGGTTTCGCTTTAAAACAAGTTATACATTCACGTACAATCTTTTTGACCTGGCCTTTCGCATTTACTGGCCAAAACTTTTGTCGAACGTGATAGAGTGTTGTCTGAGGTCCTGCATGTAGTTGTGATATGTGCGCATTCTGAATAATTAATTCTGTTATATAATGATTTCCTGGTAAAAGAATTTGATACCTTTGATCATAGTTTAACTTAGCATGCACAAGTCTACCACCAACTCGCAATATTCCGATGGAGTCTAAAAACGGATGTAATGATAAGATCTTACTATTATTTTTGAGAGTCTTTCCTGCCTCTAATGATTGTATTTCTCGTGAAAATGCCTCGGATTGAACTAATTTAATGATAACAGACGTCGCATGCTCTAGCTCAGAACTGATTAGATTTCCCTGAACCTTATGCTTTGAACGACAGTTATTGATAAACCTAAGACACCATGCCACAACTCTACGAAGTCTCACAAGCGACGAAAATCTCCGCAAAAGATCAGAGCTTCCTTCTGTTTTCAAGGAAATAGTCGTTCGTTGTTCTGGAATCTCAATTGGAGTTAATGTGAGCTTTGGCCAATGTTGCTCATCATCCGACAACCATGTCGGTCCATGAATCCAAAGGGTACAATTGATAAGTTGTAATGGAAAGATTCCTCTCGAAAGTAGGTCGGCTGGATTGTCTTGTGATGAAACATGTCTCCAACTAGCTGATGTCATGGCCTCCTGAATAGCAGTCACACGATTTGCTACAAAAGTTTTTAAACGATATGGATGGGTATGTATCCAATGTAAAACTATAGTTGAATCCGACCATAAAACAACCTTATCCACGGTTACGTGGAAAGCCTTTAACACTGTTTGACAGAGTTGTGATAAGAGTAATGCTGCACATAATTCTAGTTTAGGTAGCGACAGCTTCTTCTTTATTGGAGCTACTCTAGACTTTGAGCAGATTAACATAACCTGGTGTGCATTGACCGCGTTCGCAGATCTCATGTAAACACATGCTCCATAAGCGACCTCGCTAGCATCCGCAAATCCATGCAATTGTAAGTCAACTGCTTGTTTTAAACAAACATGTCTAGGAAACGAAATGTTGTTTAATTCAGACATACTTTCTTGAAATGTTTTCCATGCTGTATGAATCTCGATTGGTACTGTTTCATCCCATGATAGTTGTAGCTTCCAAATGTTTTGCAGCAATATTTTGGTCTTTACAGTGACTGGGCCTACTAGTCCCAAGGGATCATAATAGGAAGCAATTTGTGATAAAATCAATCGTTTTGTTATCTTAGATGAATCTTGACATTTCGTAAAATGATATAAAAAATTATCCTGCTGTGGATTCCACAAAATCCCTAATGTTTTATGCATCTCTGAGAATTCGAGACACCAATGTTCTTGTCGTTCAGCTGATTGGGATTCAATGAGCTGTGGATGATTAGAGGCCCATTGCCTTAGTTCGAAGCCTCCGCTACTCAACAACTTTGTGATTTGAGTCTTCAATATCTTAGCTTGTTCCAGTGTTTCCGTTCCTGTAAGTAAGTCGTCAACATACATATCTCTTGTGACAATTTCGACTGCATCTGTGTAGTTTTGTCTTTCATTTTCCGCTAGCTGAATTAAAGTGCGTGTTGCCAAGTATGGAGCGACCGATGTTCCATGCGTTACTGTGTTGAGCTCATAGACCCGTATTGCTTCTTCCGAATTGTTTCTCCATAGAATCCTTTGAAATTTATGATCGTCAGGATGTACTAATACCTGTCTGTACATCTTTTGAATATCCGCTGTGAATACTATGTCATGTAGACGAAATCTCAGCACTATTGAAAAGAGATCTTGTTGCACCACTGGACCTTTGAATAGAGTGTCATTCAGCGAAACACCACTTGTTGTCTTTGCTGATGCGTCAAAGACCACTCTAAGTTTAGTGGTTACACTTGATTCCTTTATAACTGAATGGTGAGGAAGAAAGCATCCTTCTTGCATGATTGGCTCTCTTATTTCTGTCATGTGTCCAAGTGATTGATATTCTTGAAGAAAGTTATGGTATTCATCACGTAACTTAAGATTTGTATTCAGTCTTCTTTCCAAACTCAGTAATCGTTTTACAGCTATTCCATACGATTCGCCTAATTCTTGTTTCTGCTCATTAAATGGTAATCTTACTGAATATCGACCAGAAGGAAGTCTTTCTATGGTTTTCTTGTAATACTGCTCACAGTTTTCATCCTCCGGCGATAATGTCTTCTTAACTGGTAGTTCTTCTATCTCCCAAAACCTCTGCACAGCGTCATCGAGTGAGCATCGAGAGATGTGGCATGAACTAAATGATAGTGAATTACCAAACTCAGTTCTACCAGCCACTATCCATCCAAATTTTGTTTTTTGTAATATAGTTGAGCCTGTTTTTAATCTAATCTGTCCTACACATAACAAATGATAGAAATATTCCGCACCAATAAGTATGTCAATCTGTGACGGTTTATCAAATCCAGGATCTGCTAGATTTAGATTTTTAGGAATGCCAAGTGACTCGCGATCAATTACTTTCGGAGGTAATACATCTGTTAATCTTGGAATAACTAGACAATTTAATTTGAGTTTAAATGCATTCACCCTAGATTTGACTAACACGCTTGTTGAGGATTTAACATGTGAAAGAGTTTCTCCGATTCCCTTGATAGGAATATTTACAGTGTTCTTGGGCAACTTCAGTTTATTACAACAGTATTCAGAGATAAAGTTTGATTGCGATCCTGCATCTAAAACTATTCTACATGAATAAAATTCGCCTGTAGTGTCCGCAACATCTACTACTGCTGTGGATAAAAGTATGTGTGATGTATCGCTTATTCGAGAACTTAAAATCTGATTGACTGCCTGTGATGTTGCAATTTGAACCTGAGATTGCTCCTCTTGCTGAATGTTTTCTCCCTTTACTTGATTATTTTCATTCGCTTTGACTGGATGTGGTAATGTATGATGCTTACGATCACACTTTCTGCAGTTACTTGCCTTACACGCTGAAACCTTGTGATTCGATCTGAAACAGTTAAAACACAAGCCTGCCCGTTTGATAGCTTCTGATTTGTCACTCTGACTCATGGCCTTGAAATCTTCACAGTTCTGTATATTATGCTGTTTTCCGCAAACATGACATTTCATCTTGGACTGAGTTTCAAATAAAACCTGCTTCGTCTTACCAACTGTTGTCTTATTTGTATCCATAGGAATTGCCTCTAAAACGTGACACCTGTTACGTAAAAACTTCAAATATTGTTCAAAAGTGGGCATTTGTGAACCATCCAGAGATTTTTCCCACTCCATTTGTGTTTGTTTATCTACCTTTGACCCAATCAAGTGCAAAAGCAATGCGTCCCAACCTACTACTGGTTGTTCTAAAGCTTGTAATGAATGTATATGTTTAAGTGCAGTGTCGACCAATGCACTCAAACTCACTGAAGACTCTTTAGATACTGATTGTAATTCAAATAGTGCTCTAACATGATTCTGAATAATAATACGTTTGTTACTGTATCTCTCTTTTAATAAATTCCAAGCAATTTCATAATTTTCTGCTGTTGAGGATAACGATTGAATAATTTGAGCTGCGTTGCCTACTAAACAAGATTTCAAGTAATTAAATTTTTGCACTGTTTGAATCTTCACGTTATTATGGACTAATGCACTAAAAGAATCCTCAAAACTTAACCATTCCTCATATTTGCCATCAAATTTTGGTAAGGTTATGGTAGGTAGTTTAACACCATTATTATTTGTCCTCAAATTCTCTAATTGAGTTAATACTGCTTGCATATTTACGTCTTCTGAGGTAGCATTAATCGAAACTGCACTGTTTCTACCTGAATCTACATATTCTTGTGCCGTGGCTATGGCTTCGTAGTAGCTATTTTCATAAAATTGTCTTGATTCATCGTCATCAGCATTTTCAGCCAGCTCTATTGTGTACATTCTCAAATTCGGAAAGCAATGGTTTTGCTTTTTCCAAACGCACTTTCAGCACGTTGTAATCACGTTCATGAATATAACTGTCTAAAAAACCTCTAAATCTCGTTAATGTTGCCTTTAACAAACCACGCCGCTTTTTCAATTTACTTACATCGTTTTCATTCATTATGTCTGTTTCTCTGAAAATGCTTTTGACTGACTTTAACCTTAAATACTCTACTCACGTACTGTTACTTACCGACTAATCTTTCTTACCAGTTTCTTGTTCACACTTCAAAATTGTGTGAACGCCTCGCCTCGCGATTTCTTAACTACAATGGACAATATGGCTGCCAAACGTGAATCTTCGTCGAAATTTGACTCTAACGCTCTACTTAGCGATTTCCTTTCCAATTCGTTTGTAGGTTATACAGAACGTCGTAATGACCTGTCTGTCCTCGCTTCGTATATCCAGTCGCTTACTATTCGAGATATTGCTATTTAAACCTTAGAATCTGAGTTCTTGTTATCTCGATGTTTTATATCCGGCATCTATCCTGCTCGAAGGACCAATTTTAACGTCTACAACTAATTTGATGTAGATTGCCACGTATGCCTCTCTATGTAATGAAAATTTGCTTGCACACGTGCGATTCCCGCTAAATAATTAGCATTCAATCTAATTTGTAGAGATTCTTTATTTCTCATCGAGAACTGATACAGATTATACTCGGTCAAAATCAAAACTGTAACTGTACTATAAACAGCGACACGTACGCGCTTTTCTTACGCTAGCGCCGCTCTCGCCTTATTCTTAAACTTCTAAGTGTTGCGTCAAGCGCGAAATCAAAAAACGTCCAAACATCCTGTCCCCTTTGAACTGACCAGTTCAAATAATCATTACAAATGTTCGTTCATAGGAAGCAGTGCGACATTCTTTACTGCACGTTTATAATTTCCGTTTGCAGTCCTGATTGCTATGACTCTTACAATGCCATCTTGGCCAGGATATAGTTCAGTAACCCGGCCCAAAGGCCAATACAATGAAGGAGTTTTGTCTTCGCGCAATAAAACTAAATCACCTACATTTAAATTGCCTGTTCCTGATTTCCATTTTGTACGTTGTGTCAATTCAGTCAAATACTCCTTGCTCCATCGATTCCAGAAATCACGTTTAAGTTTCTGAATGTGTTGCCACTGGGACAATTTATTAGTTTGAGTATTTGTAAAATCAACTTCTGGGATTGATGAGAGCAAACCTCCAATTAAAAAATGACTTGGAGTCAATGAGGCTAAATCATCTGGACTCGATGACAGTGGCGTTAGCGGTCTAGAATTAAGTATTGCTTCAATCTCGATGATAAGCGTATTAAACTGTTCAAATGTAAATAGAGTATCTTTAGCTACGCGAAATAAGTGATGTTTAAAAGACCGCACGGCTGCTTCCCAAATTCCTCCGAAATGAGGAGACCGGGGTGGGATGAATCTCCAAACAACTTCCTGTTCACTCAGCTAAGCTGTCATCGCATCCTTATGAGTCGCAGTGTTTACAAAATCATACAATTCACGTAGTTTATTCTTTGTACCAACAAAATTGGTCGCATTATCTGACAAAATGAGGTTCGATTTACCTCTTCTACTAAAAAATCGTTTTAATGCAGCTATAAAAGCCTCAGTGGATAAATCGCTCACTAATTCTAGGTGAACAGCTTTTGAAGCTAGGCATATGAAAATTGCGACGTAAACCTTAATTTTATTACGATTGCGATGCTTCTTTTCCTTTATCTGAAAGGGGCCGCAATAATCAACGCCGGAATTTGTGAAAGGTCGTGAACATTCGAATCTATCTTTAGGAAGATTACTCATTGTATATTCTGACATTCGCGGTTTCGCTTTAAAACAAGTTATACATTCACGTACAATCTTTTTGACCTGGCCTTTCGCATTTACTGGCCAAAACTTTTGTCGAACGTGATAGAGTGTTGTCTGAGGTCCTGCATGTAGTTGTGATATGTGCGCATTCTGAATAATTAATTCTGTTATATAATGATTTCCTGGTAAAAGAATTTGATACCTTTGATCATAGTTTAACTTAGCATGCACAAGTCTACCACCAACTCGCAATATTCCGATGGAGTCTAAAAACGGATGTAATGATAAGATCTTACTATTATTTTTGAGAGTCTTTCCTGCCTCTAATGATTGTATTTCTCGTGAAAATGCCTCGGATTGAACTAATTTAATGATAACAGACGTCGCATGCTCTAGCTCAGAACTGATTAGATTTCCCTGAACCTTATGCTTTGAACGACAGTTATTGATAAACCTAAGACACCATGCCACAACTCTACGAAGTCTCACAAGCGACGAAAATCTCCGCAAAAGATCAGAGCTTCCTTCTGTTTTCAAGGAAATAGTCGTTCGTTGTTCTGGAATCTCAATTGGAGTTAATGTGAGCTTTGGCCAATGTTGCTCATCATCCGACAACCATGTCGGTCCATGAATCCAAAGGGTACAATTGATAAGTTGTAATGGAAAGATTCCTCTCGAAAGTAGGTCGGCTGGATTGTCTTGTGATGAAACATGTCTCCAACTAGCTGATGTCATGGCCTCCTGAATAGCAGTCACACGATTTGCTACAAAAGTTTTTAAACGATATGGATGGGTATGTATCCAATGTAAAACTATAGTTGAATCCGACCATAAAACAACCTTATCCACGGTTACGTGGAAAGCCTTTAACACTGTTTGACAGAGTTGTGATAAGAGTAATGCTGCACATAATTCTAGTTTAGGTAGCGACAGCTTCTTCTTTATTGGAGCTACTCTAGACTTTGAGCAGATTAACATAACCTGGTGTGCATTGACCGCGTTCGCAGATCTCATGTAAACACATGCTCCATAAGCGACCTCGCTAGCATCCGCAAATCCATGCAATTGTAAGTCAACTGCTTGTTTTAAACAAACATGTCTAGGAAACGAAATGTTGTTTAATTCAGACATACTTTCTTGAAATGTTTTCCATGCTGTATGAATCTCGATTGGTACTGTTTCATCCCATGATAGTTGTAGCTTCCAAATGTTTTGCAGCAATATTTTGGTCTTTACAGTGACTGGGCCTACTAGTCCCAAGGGATCATAATAGGAAGCAATTTGTGATAAAATCAATCGTTTTGTTATCTTAGATGAATCTTGACATTTCGTAAAATGATATAAAAAATTATCCTGCTGTGGATTCCACAAAATCCCTAATGTTTTATGCATCTCTGAGAATTCGAGACACCAATGTTCTTGTCGTTCAGCTGATTGGGATTCAATGAGCTGTGGATGATTAGAGGCCCATTGCCTTAGTTCGAAGCCTCCGCTACTCAACAACTTTGTGATTTGAGTCTTCAATATCTTAGCTTGTTCCAGTGTTTCCGTTCCTGTAAGTAAGTCGTCAACATACATATCTCTTGTGACAATTTCGACTGCATCTGTGTAGTTTTGTCTTTCATTTTCCGCTAGCTGAATTAAAGTGCGTGTTGCCAAGTATGGAGCGACCGATGTTCCATGCGTTACTGTGTTGAGCTCATAGACCCGTATTGCTTCTTCCGAATTGTTTCTCCATAGAATCCTTTGAAATTTATGATCGTCAGGATGTACTAATACCTGTCTGTACATCTTTTGAATATCCGCTGTGAATACTATGTCATGTAGACGAAATCTCAGCACTATTGAAAAGAGATCTTGTTGCACCACTGGACCTTTGAATAGAGTGTCATTCAGCGAAACACCACTTGTTGTCTTTGCTGATGCGTCAAAGACCACTCTAAGTTTAGTGGTTACACTTGATTCCTTTATAACTGAATGGTGAGGAAGAAAGCATCCTTCTTGCATGATTGGCTCTCTTATTTCTGTCATGTGTCCAAGTGATTGATATTCTTGAAGAAAGTTATGGTATTCATCACGTAACTTAAGATTTGTATTCAGTCTTCTTTCCAAACTCAGTAATCGTTTTACAGCTATTCCATACGATTCGCCTAATTCTTGTTTCTGCTCATTAAATGGTAATCTTACTGAATATCGACCAGAAGGAAGTCTTTCTATGGTTTTCTTGTAATACTGCTCACAGTTTTCATCCTCCGGCGATAATGTCTTCTTAACTGGTAGTTCTTCTATCTCCCAAAACCTCTGCACAGCGTCATCGAGTGAGCATCGAGAGATGTGGCATGAACTAAATGATAGTGAATTACCAAACTCAGTTCTACCAGCCACTATCCATCCAAATTTTGTTTTTTGTAATATAGTTGAGCCTGTTTTTAATCTAATCTGTCCTACACATAACAAATGATAGAAATATTCCGCACCAATAAGTATGTCAATCTGTGACGGTTTATCAAATCCAGGATCTGCTAGATTTAGATTTTTAGGAATGCCAAGTGACTCGCGATCAATTACTTTCGGAGGTAATACATCTGTTAATCTTGGAATAACTAGACAATTTAATTTGAGTTTAAATGCATTCACCCTAGATTTGACTAACACGCTTGTTGAGGATTTAACATGTGAAAGAGTTTCTCCGATTCCCTTGATAGGAATATTTACAGTGTTCTTGGGCAACTTCAGTTTATTACAACAGTATTCAGAGATAAAGTTTGATTGCGATCCTGCATCTAAAACTATTCTACATGAATAAAATTCGCCTGTAGTGTCCGCAACATCTACTACTGCTGTGGATAAAAGTATGTGTGATGTATCGCTTATTCGAGAACTTAAAATCTGATTGACTGCCTGTGATGTTGCAATTTGAACCTGAGATTGCTCCTCTTGCTGAATGTTTTCTCCCTTTTCGAAGGCGAACACCTAGACACTTACTTCCTCGAAATCAAACACGTAGACACTTATATTTCCTCGACGACGAACATATTTCAATATTTCAATTTTAATATTTATATAATAACATATATATATTATATTATTAATAAATATTTTATATTATATTGAATAATATTTTATTTTTAATTATAAGATTAAAATCGCGCGCGCGTCATATGTGATACACCATGCAACACTGGTCTGCTGGTTAGATATAGATAGATAGAGTGAGATGATAGATAGAGTGAGATAACACATAAAGTCAAAGGCCCTCTATTATCGAAAAAACGAGATGGACATTTTCTCTGGTCGACGACGTTAATAATGATGACGACGTTTCTTAAAATTGAAACGTGAAAATTCACAGATCCGGACTTTGCGTCGCGATATCTCCGCTCGTAGGGCACGTAGGAAAAAAATGAAAGCACTTTTATTATACAATTTAAGTATTTCCTGTCGATTGAGCGTATGTAGAACTTGATCGGTTCAGCCGTTACTGAGATCTGATCATCTCGACCCCGAAAAATCTCCGTGTCGCGTAAAGGAGGCACGGCAGTGTCGCGCGCTTGGCTTAGCGCCGAGACACTACCGTGTCTCCAGATATTGAAGTGATTATTTTCAGGACCGTCTTAAAATTGTTTTTATTTTATGTATTATGTACAACTCTGTAATGTAATTATGGGGAGCGCTTCACTTGCACACTGTAGCTATTGCCCACTGCCCATCACAGCAACTTCTGCGAAGGAAATTTTTTTAACTTTTTTTTCTAGCGTTGTGATTAGCTTGTGCGCAACTGGCTAGTGTGCAATTGATATGCACCTATAATTATATCAAAATGTTAAATTAAACATTTCCATAATTATTATAATTATTTTGTGTACCTTAATATAAAATATTAAAATAAGTACCCGAAACAACCATTATATATGTGTTATACAATATCTAAGAAATTAATTGAAAATTCATGATGGAAGCAACACGCATAAGTGTTTTTTATAATTTTTCATTTAAAAAAAGGTGGTCCCTGCAACAACCCTTAGATATATATATAATACATATATATATAATACACACATACACATACATATATGTATTATATATCACTTCTTACTGATTTACCTTCATTTTCTATTAGATTTGCTGCTTTTTCAAATATTTTCGACAATTTGTGTGCACGTTGAGTCTTCCTTTTATAGTTCCTCATGCTTTAAATGTGAAAAAAAGGAGATATAAAGTAAATGAGCATAAGATATAAAAGATTAATGGTGTTACAATGTACCCCAGCGATATGTTACTTCTAACCCCAAACCGATGTTGCCAAAATTTATATGAATATGTTTGGAACTACTTAAAAATATTAAAAAAACACATGCACATAACTTGAAAAATTGTATTTTAGACATAATAAAACGAAAATACAATAAAAAGCATTTCATTTGAAAGTTTAAAGCAAAAAAGTATAACATTGTAAATTTACACTTACGTGGCTTGTCTGAACACAATACATATAATCTCTTTTACATGCAACACACGCGCGATTGGTGGTATGAAGCAAACGCAGGCCTCGATACTGACAAGGGAAGGTCCCCAGGTGTTTAGCTCCCAGAGGGCCGTAATTGGTCGGAAAATGTTCCTTGTGATACTCACAACAAAGATTGACCCATCCTAACCCCTACCTTTTCGATATTTTTGAGCACCGAATCTCCAAACTTTTGTTTCTTCATGACTTTCTACGCTGTTTTTGACATGCACGATTTGATTGCACAATAGCTTTTTTATTTTTTTATGCAATTCTGTGCGCAAAAAGTTACTTGTACAACAGAAATGGACCCCTTTTTCATATATTAAGAGAACATTGAAAAATATTTTTGGCCTTAAAACATAGGAAAAAGAAAAAATAATCTTCCATCTCTTCCATCGCACACGCGGGTTTTTGTGATTTTTGAGTACATTTTCTTGTGACGATTATGTGCTGAACTTAAATTTAAAATCTTTATGCCACTCTCCTTTAGCATTACCCGGAGCTAACGACGAGGACGTAGAGAGATAATGTAGCTCCATTTTTTTAACTTTTTTTTTGTTCTTTTTTGTTTTATTTGTTTTATTTTATTATTTTTATAGTTGTGAATTCCCGTACAGATTAAATTTAGATTTATTCAGTGCCAACACAATTTTTCTAGAAAATGCTTTAAACATAAAAGATTATTGCAATGTGCACATTTTATAAATGCGGTAGTGGGACACGCAGCCCAATTATCTAGAATTTCAGTTTTGTTAAAACAAATTTCAATTACATTTTGAAACTTGCCAGGATCGGCAACAGCATATCCACTTTTGTTAGTCGGTAAGACAGATTTCCTAACCTGAATAGTCGTCAACTTTAACATTAAATATCTCGGTTCGTAGGGCAGAGCGACGCTTATTTCTGCCAGATTCTTTCGTTTCATGCAAAAACGCGTCGAATAAGCCTAATTTGATCGATTTTTAAGCTGCTCGAGTGATTCTGTATAATTACCCAAGGTTAAACCGAACAGCTCTTGAGTTTTCAGTTTGTTAAGCGTCGACACTTTTACAAGAAAAGTGGGCGCTTTGGACGTTAATGAGATATATCTAATAATTTGCAAAGTCGTCATATGTGCGAGTCCTTGCTAGAGTAAGTGACAAAGCCCCCGCTAGGTACGGCCGCGGCATTCTTTGCTATTATTCGCTCGCGTTGTATAAATGAGTTTGTGGTTAGTACATAAGAAGTATACTGGTACGGTGTGGAATTATATTTGTACTGTGGATTGAACTTTGCACTGGACATTTTGTCAATTGGAAAACTATTAATAATAATTTGTGACACGAGCTATAAAAAAAAATTAACATGGATGCTAACCCTCACCACATTTTTTACCTTTTTAAATTAAAGTTCGAACAATTCTATGAATGTGTTAATACATCTATTTTGGAAAATTCGAACCCGAACAGTCTTGATTCCCATATCTCCAATAATCTATTTAATCTATTCCAAATATTATATGATCAATCGGCTGAAGTAAGATCAGAAGAATCTTTAGAAATTAATCATTCTAATTCTGATTTTTCGAGATTCAAGATTTAAATGAGGATCACGTCGAAGCCGCCGACTCTTTATCACAAGAATTTAATTCTCAAATGAGCCTTACAGACTCCTCAGAATCGTTGACTGTTTCAGATCCTACAGCTAACAATAAGAAAAGAAAAACTAATTCCGATGAAAATAGTTTACATGTTCCGAAAAAAAGAAAAATTGAAGCTGATGGTTATGATTTTTTGCATGAAATGGAAATTTCTTCTACACGTCAACCATTTTCATTTGAAACAATGAAAAAGATTATACAAATGAAAGATGTAAAAAAGCTGAAATTTTCTTCCATCAAATCATTATATCCTCGCTTACAGCCGACACACATAAGTAGATTCAGAAAATATGTAGAAAATAAAGGATCTTTTTTATTTAAAATGCATGAAATAGAACAGTATATAAAGAATCGATTTACTGTAGCAAGACAAAAATTCTTACCTGTTCATGATATTGATCTTCGTCGCTGGGCAATTGAAGAAGCAAAAAGAATGGGATTAGACAACTTCAAAGCAAGCCCACATTTTATTCTGAATCTAAAACGTCGACTTCGTATCTGTTCAAGAAGAGTAACTAAACTCGAACTAAAAAGCATTCAAATGAAAAAATTGATATTGAAAATCGCAAATGTGCCCATTTACAACTCACAAATTCCAAAATTCCTCATTACAGTTTAGATTTCATTATAAATTCTGATCAATCTGGGTTCTCAAAAGAATATTTTTCAACAAGAACTTTAAGTAACCGCGGTGAGAAGGATACCTTGCAATTAGTAAAAAGTATTTCTAATACCACACATTCATATATACAATTCAACCAATGATCACAGCATCTGGTAAACTTTTGTGTCCTATGTTAATATGCTTACAGGAAACAACTGGTAATGAGTTTGGACCCAGAGTTCATAAAGAGGTATTACAAAATGCATCGAGTAATTTGGTTGTAGTATGCAGCAAATCTGGAAAATTGACGAAGGAACACGTTAAAAAATGGGTAGTAGATTGTTTAATTCCTCATATAACAAAGGACACTTTACTTTTGACAGACAGTTGGTCCGGACAAACTAAAGACTTTTTAATAGATTCCTTAACGTCTGATAAAAAAAATTTGTTGGAAGCCATAACAATTCCTGCTGGCACGACAGGGCTTTGTCAGCCACTAGATGTGTACTTTTTCAGGCAGTACAAGATTTTTGTGCGTGCAATTTACAATCAGATGATGTTAGAACTTACAGAAGAAGAAGTACATGATAGAATGTTTTTTCTTAATATGCATTCACTTGTTCATAACCAACTAACAGCAGAACTTTTTCGTCCAATGCTGCAATATGCTTGGTACAAAAGTGGATATGCTGTTGCCGATCCTGGCAAGTTTCAAAATGTAATTGAAATTTGTTTTAACAAAACTGAAATTCTAGATAATTGGGCTGCGTGTCCCACTACCGCATTCATAAAATGTGCACATTGCAATAATCTTTTATGTTTAAAGCATTTTCTAGAAAAATTGTGTTGGCACTGAATAAATCTAAATTTAATCTGTACGGGAATTCACAACTATAAAAATAATAAAATAAAACAAATAAAACAAAAAAGAACAAAAAAAAAGTTAAAAAAATGGAGCTACATTATCTCTCTACGTCCTCGTCGTTAGCTCCGGGTAATGCTAAAGGAGAGTGGCATAAAGATTTTAAATTTAAGTTCAGCACATAATCGTCACAAGAAAATGTACTCAAAAATCACAAAAACCCGCGTGTGCGATGGAAGAGATGGAAGATTATTTTTTCTTTTTCCTATGTTTTAAGGCCAAAAATATTTTTCAATGTTCTCTTAATATATGAAAAAGGGGTCCATTTCTGTTGTACAAGTAACTTTTTGCGCACAGAATTGCATAAAAAAATAAAAAAGCTATTGTGCAATCAAATCGTGCATGTCAAAAACAGCGTAGAAAGTCATGAAGAAACAAAAGTTTGGAGATTCGGTGCTCAAAAATATCGAAAAGGTAGGGGTTAGGATGGGTCAATCTTTGTTGTGAGTATCACAAGGAACATTTTCCGACCAATTACGGCCCTCTGGGAGCTGAACACCTGGGGACCTTCCCTTGTGAGTATTTTTGTTCTTCACACGATCATTATATCTCTTATCATTTAAAAGATATATGCATTGTTACAACTTACCTCCGTTACAACTGGCCCCAGTCTCCCCTATTTAAGTAAAATAAACCAAAAAATTCATAACTTTTAGCGTAATTATAATTACTTTATTCCCATACAGCACGTAATATTACAATATTAAAAATATTGTAGCAATATTAATATATAGTTGCAATATTGCTGCTGTATTACGTGTTGTATGAAATTATTAAAAAACCATAACATAAAATAAAAATGTTGCTTTTAAGTAAAACAAAAATCACACAAGTTTTATAGCAATTATAGCTACAGAGATCTCCACTACACATAAGCACCAATTGTACTAAACGATAGTGATATTCCACAAATGCCCTACATTATAAGGCCCGACGAACATAAACGACATAAGAGACAATAATTTAAGCAGTATTGTAGCAGATATTAGCATCGTAATTATAATCAATAAAATTACCTTTTTAAAAAAAAGGAAAAAAGGCGCCAAGTGTGTTAGCCTCACAAAATAAAATGAAATCTTTTTAAATTGCGTCAATTATGAAAGGAATATATTTTCTTGATACATATATAAAATACTTTATTTCAAAAAGTAAAAGTACAAGAAACTTGGCGCTGCTAGACCTCAAAATATACAATAATAAGATAGTTATTAAATAATTCCGAATATGAAAAATAATAAGAAATTAATAGAAAAAGAAATAAGGACTCGTTATATAAAAATAAACAATATGAAGAGTCAAGGGCGATATAAAAAAAAATAATAAGGTCTCTCTCTCTCTCTCTCTCTCTCTCTAGCAGCGCCAAGTTTTTTGTACTTTTACTTTTTGAAATAAAGTATGTTATATATGTGTCAAGAAAATATATTTCTTTCATAGTTGGCGCAATTTAAAAAGATTTCATTTTATTTTGTGAGGCTAACACACTTGGCGCCTTTTCTTCCTTTTTTTTAAAAAGGTAATTTTGTTGAGATATCACGCATTTTTTGTAATGTTAAATATTTTTTATAAATCTGTATATAAAATATTAAAAAAAAAAACATAATAAAATATAATAATAGAGCTCTAATATAATAATAGAGCTCACTGTGCGTGCCTTCGGCCTTAAAATAAAAGGAAACAATATTTAAAAATTAAATCATATAAGACCGTGAGAAACACAACCAATAAAATGCCTTTAACGATCGAACTGTATCTTAGGTACTAATTATAATTCCGTGAGAATTTATATAAAACTAGCATCAAAACTCTCCTCTCCTTCTATGTTGATTAGCGAAATTAGAAATTGCACACCTGTAGCTTTAGCAATTCTTTTCAGATCAGCTTTTTTGCAACGAGAAGTCTAGACATGCGATTTTCGCGTTCGTTATC